TCAACTGCATTTGATTACGTTTGGTCTCTTTTCCCGGATTTGCACGACAGTGATCACTTTCCTATTCTTACTCCTCATAGCCCCCGCTGGCAACTTGGATGAGCGAATTGGGACTTAAACTCTCGCCTTACTGCTTGTTGTGGGGACCCTTCTTCGTCCTCTACTGATGAGCTGGTGCACCAGTTTTCGACCTTAGTTTTGACTGCAGCATCACGTTCTATTCCTCAAACCTCGAGCAGGCATTCTCAGATATGCATGACTTGGTGATCTCCTGCGTTAGCCTGTGCAGTGCACTTGAAATGAGCTGTGCAGGACCAATATCGATACAATCGGACTGCAGATCATCATCTGGATTTTAAGCGAGCGAGGACAGTCGCTCGCCACGTAATATGTGACACTAACCAATTGTTGGCAAGACTACTCTTCTACCATTACCTCCACTATATATATATATATATATATATATATATATATATATATATATATATATATATATATATATATATATATATATATATATATATATATACATATATGCAATAAGATCACAGTAAACAGGTGATTTCAGAATATGCAAAACAACTGCTGTGAAAGAATAGAGAAATTCCAAGCACTTTCGTGACTACTCACATTATCAAGGAATGTGAGTAGTCACGAAAGCGCTTGGAATTTCTCTATTCTATCACAGTGGTTGTTTTGCATGTATATATATATATATATATATTATATATATATATATATATATAAATATATATATATATATATATATATATATATTATATATTATATATATATAAATATATATATATATATATATATATATTATATATATATATATATATATATAAATATATATATATATATATATAATATATATATATATATATATATATATATATATATATAATATATATATATATATATATATATATATATATATGCAAAACAACCCCTGATTTTGTACGCACTGGATATCGAAAGATTCGAATTTCGACCTTTTTTTTCGGCGAAATTTTGCTCCGGATTTCGTACTTCATCCCAGAAATCGTCCGTATCAGACGCGTCCGCTCACCTGGGATGCTGCCACTCATGAGTATGTGTCTCAGTCTGGCTCTGTCACTAGTTGAGTGAGCATTCGTCTGAAACATTTCGCAATAATCCATTGTTTTTTGTGCTTCTTTATTGAAGAAAGTTCCTAGTGCAGCCCTTTGGTAAAGGTGAGAAACGCGATTGAATTCAAGAAAGAAATTGTAGATAAATACGAAAGTGGCATACGTGTGGCTGAGCTCGCCAGGATGTATGGCAAGTCCAAATCAACAGTCAGTTCCATCCTGGAAAAGAAAGTAGAAATCAAGGAAGCTGATGCTGCAAAAGGGGTAAATATGCTAACGAAGCAGAGATCACAAACAATCGAAGATGTCGAGACGTTGTTGTTGGTGTGGATCAACGAAAAACAGTTAGCTGGAGACAGTGTTGTAGAGTCGATCATTTGCGAAAAGGCAATGCAGTTACATGCCTGAATTTAAGGCCAACAGAGGCTGGTTCGACAAGTTCAAGAGGTGTAGGGGCATACACTGTGTTGTAAGGCATGGTGAGGCTGCATGTTCAGACAAACGTGCGACCGAAAAATTCGTTGATGAGGTAGAGGTTGCGGGATTCGTCCCCCAACAAGTCTTCAATTGTGACGAAACAGTCCTCTTTTGGAAGAAAATACCAAAGAGTATGTACATCATGCAGGAGGAAAAGGCACTGCCAGGACACAAGCCTATGCAGGATAGGCTAGCTCTTTTCTTCTGTGGTAATGCTAGTGGGGATTTCAGAGTGAAGCCTCACTGGTGTATCACTCTGAAAATCCTCGAGTGTTCAAGAAAAACTATGTCGTCAATACTAAATTGTGTGCGATGTAGAAAACTAATAGTAAGGCAAAATGTTTCATGATTCAAATTTTCATTGACTGGGTCCATGAACTGTTTGCCCAAGTGTAAAAAAATGTCTCCTGGAAAATAAATTGGCACTCAAGTGCCTCCTGGTACTGAACAATGCTCCTGCTCATCTCCAGACTTGGAAGACCAATTGTTTAGGGACTTGAAGTGAAGTTCTTGCCTCCTAACACCACTCCTCTCATCCAGCCCATGGACCAGCAGGTCATTTCTAACTTCAAAAAACTCTACACGAAAGCAATATTTCAAAGGTGCTTTGAAGTGACCTCGGACACTGAATTGACCCTAAGAGAGTTCTGGAGGAATCACTTCAGTATCCTCCATTGCATAAGCCTGATAGTAAGGATTGGCAGGGAGTGACTTCCAGGACTTTGAACTCTGCTTGGAGAAAATTGTGGCCAGAATGTGTCCTCGACAAAGATTTTGAAAGGGAAGTCCATGGGGTTGGACGTGAGTGGCCAGGATGTGGGAGAGTTGGTGGAGGAACATAGGGAAGAGCTAACCATTGCAGAGCTGCAAGACCTTCATCTGGAACAGCAACAGATCAAAGCTGAGGAAATTGCTTCAGAGGAGGAGGAGAAGAGAGGGGAGAAGGTGCCTTCTTCAGTGATTATAAAGACATTTGTACAAAGTGGAATGAGGTGCAAATTTTTGTGGATAAATATCACCTTGATCAAACTGATACAAGCGTACCTGCAACATGTTCAGCGACAATACCTTGTCCCATTTTAGGTAAATCTTTAAGAGAAGCCAGAAACAGAGCTCTCTGAACAGATTTTTAGTGCGACAGGGGTCCAGTGCCAGTAAAAGACAAATAAGGTAAGTAACCCTGGATAGAGGAGGATTTCCCTTCCAAACAGTAACCTCTGCTCCCCCCTCTCCCCTCCTCGCCATCTATACCCTAACAAGAGTCTTCAATAAAGGCAAGTGTGATGTTAAATGTTCATTTATCCATTTCATTAGTCATTTATATTTCTTTCTCATTGTTTTCTGTATGTAAAAAATAGTTATTCTTTAAAAAATGTATTTTTTGTTAATATTTTTGGGTGTCTGAAACGGATTAATTATATTTACATTATTTCTTATCGGAAATATTGCTTCGGTTACCTTCGTTTCGGATTTAGACCGACCTTCTGGAACAGATTAAGGATGAAATTCGGGGTTCCATTGTAATTTAAATTGAACTTGGACCGACCTTCGTTTTCGGAACAATCTCAACAACATTTTCTTTTGTTTCTTTTTCCATAATTTTTTATAACTGAAGAGCACAAGATTTACAGGATTCTGTGCCTGCGTGGGCGACCTGTGGATAGTGTTACACAGGCCATTACACCAGTTTGTTTCCCTTTGATTAATGGAAAAAGGCTCCCAAGGTCGGCTTCAGAATTTCATTAGTGGTGTGTCTTACTTAGAAGAAAGTTGGCACTGTTAATGAAGTACATGTATGTAGGTGCCATTTTGCCACTTTTAGTCTCGAAATGGTTTAGCGTTATCTTACATAATTGCATTATTTTACTTTCATTCTAGTGAGGGGCTGTTGATCTAAGGAAGTGTACTTATCCTCATTTTGCATGAATCAAATATGAATGTATCATATTCCGCAGGTACTGCACCATAATTCCGCAGGTACTGCACCATAATTCCGCAGGTACTACACCATAATTCCTCAGGTATTGCACCATAATTCTGAACATTAATCTCTCATAGCTCATACATCTAATTAAAGGGATGAAAATTTCTTGACTTTAGAGAGCATGTAAGTGCACATTTTGTTCGTTTATGTTAGATTCTGTGTAACAGCTGGAGAATGCTTCTTCTGGTCGGCTTCATACTTTTAGTGATGATGTGTTTTCCTCATTAGAAGCTTCACTTTCATTTTAGGTTCTTCAAGTTTTAATGTCAGTTTGATTAATCAGATTGGTTCCTGCTAAGCAACTAGAGAATGCCTGTTCTGATTAAAACACAGTGCTTGACTTTATTGGGTTATCCTTGATTAAACCTACATACCTTTCATTTAATAATGTTTTATTAAGTATTTGCAGGCATGCTTTCTTAATTCTTAAAAGCGGGGAAACTTACGAAGAGAAATGTTTGGATATTTTTGGTCTGTGTTGATATCTGTCTGTTGTTTTATAGAAGGAAATAGAAAAATCTAAATACTGGTTTTCATATGATAATTTCTGAGTGCCTCATCAAGTTGCCTTCATCTTCATCACTGATAACTTGATAATGAAAATTCTTGAGACGTATTTCACAATATTGTTCTGAGATAACACAAGAATCCCTCTCCAATCTGGCTTCAAAGTTTGTTTCTTAGTGGACAGTTTGAATCAGGTTAGCGCTCTGTATTGTTCATGTGATAACTTACGAATACGTAATCTGATGCGCTACAAATCTTCATTGCTAATACTTAGTTTCTGCATTAATCTTTTTACGTGCATTGACGTACACAGACCTCGGATACCTTTGCCAGATCGCACAGCGACCAAAATATTTTCATTTATCATCATCAGCTTCGTATTATTATTATAATTATTATTACTATCATTGTTATTATCATAGCATCTTTATTTTTAGCAATATAGTACAGTAATTCTTTTAATAATACAGTAGATTGATATCTTAAATGAGTATACACTGGTCAGTTTTGTCATGTATATATTGAGAAAAGTATTTTTCTCGGCGTGTATATGCTGCGAGTTTACTTTAATCCCTATTTTAAGGATTTAATGGTTCTCATGTAGTCGATAGGCTTTAAATCTCATTAACCAACCAACCTTACAATATTGCAAGCGTCTTCCAGGCTGCTGCTCCACAACTTTACCTAGATCATTGTACTTTTCCGTTAATACCCCTAATCATTACTTATCTCTTTTTTTTTCTCTCTTTTTCTCACTGCCATCTGCACCCTTCTCATCTCTTTCTTCCTCTCACTTTCCTATTCGTTGCCCTCTCTGTCTTTCTTTTCTCCCTTCCTATCTTTATTTCCCTTCATATTCTTTTCCACTTCTCTCTATTTATGCCTCCTTCCTTTCATTCCACCACCATCACAACAAACAGACGAGGACGAGCCGTTGTTTATGTCCCTGATTGATGACCTCTTCCCCAACATGGCCCAAGAGAGGGGCTACCACAACCAGCTCACCACCTGCATTGCCGAAATTGTAGCTGAGTTAGGGCTTGTCAACCACCCTCCCTGGACACTCAAGCTTACTCAGGTGGGCTCTTTACTTACTACCTTCACCTCTCACTCACTTTCTGAGTATGTTACTTTTAATATTTATAAATTACGCGAGTCAAATAGGATGCTTAGTTTGTATATTCGTGGGAAACACAAAACCTGTGATGATTATACAACGCCTGGGAAAACGGCAGGGATGAGGAGTCAACACTGGAGTATACCTGGTGAGGGTTTCGGGATCAACGACCCCACGGCCCGGTCTGAGACTAGGCCTCGTGGTGAATCAGGGTCTGATGAGCCAGGCTGTTACTGCTGGCCGCATGTAAACCGATGTAAAAACCACAGCCCGGCTGATCAGGCACAGACTTTAGGTGCCTGTCTAGCGCCTTCTTAAAAACAGCCAGGTTTGATCCGAGAAAGAAAAGGACATATTTAATTCCTTGGATCAAGAGCTGTTCACCAACATTAAGGTACACATCTGATGGGGTTTAAGGGCACAAACCTTAAACTATGATATTAAGGACACTGTAATGAATAAGGCAGGAGAATTACCCTAAGTTAGCTTAGTGTTTACTCACACACACACACACACACATACACACACACACACACACACACACACACACACACACACACACACACACACACACACACACACACACACACACACACACACACACACACACCAGAAGGAGCCCCTGGTATACCCGACGATGTAAGGAGGCAAAAACCAAGTGCAATAGAGAATGGAAAAAGTACTGAAGGCGAAGAACACAGGAAAATAGGAAGATCAGGGGAGGAGCCAGGAACGAGTATGCACAGGTAAGGAGGGAGGCCCACCGACAGTATGAAAATAACATAGAATCGAAAGTCAAGTCTGACACGAAACTGCTGTACAGCCACATCAGGAGGAACACAGCAGTCAAAGACCAGGTGATCAGGCTGAGGAAAGAAGGTGGGGAACTCACAAGAAACGATCACGAGGTATGTGAGGAGCTCAACATGAGATTTAAGGAAGTATATACAGTAGAAACAGGAATGGCTCTGACAAGACAGCACAAAGGGGAACACCAACAGGGAATATACCAACAAGTGCTGGATGACATACAAACAACGGAGGAGGAGGAGGAGGTGCAGAAGCTGCTAACTGACCTCGATACCTCAAAGGCGAGGAGTCCGGATAACATCTCCCCACGGGTCCTTAGAGAAGGAGCAGAGACGCTGTGTGTGCCACTAACCACAATCTTCAATACATCCCTTGAAACTGGGCAACTACCTGAGGTATGGAAGACGGCAAATGTAGTCTCCATTTTTAAGAAAGGAGACAGAAACGAGGCACTAAACTATAGACCAGTGTCTCTGACATGTATAGTATGCAAAGTGATGGAGAAGATTATCAGGAGGAGAGTGGTGGAGCACCTGGAACAAAACAAGATTATAAACAACAACCAGCACGAATTCATGAAAGGCAAATCCTGTGTCACAAACCTTCTGGAGTTTTATGACAAGGTAACAGAAGTAACACACGAGAGAGAGGGGTGGATTGATTGCATTTTCCTGGACTGCAGGAAGGCCTTAGACACAGTTCCTCATAAGAGATTAGTGCAGAAGCTGGAGGATCAGGCATGTATAACAGGAAGGGCACTGCAATAGATGAGAGAATACCTGACAGGGAGGCAACAACGAGTCATGGTACGAGATGAGGTATCACAGTGGGCGCCTGTGACGAGCGGGGTCCCACAGGGGTCAGTCCTAGGACCAGTGCTATTCTTGATAGATGAATCACATGATGGAAGGGATAGACTCTGAAGTGTCCCTGTTCGCAGATGATGTGAAGCTAATGAGAAGGATTAAATCGGATGAGCATCAGACAGGACTACAAAGAGACCTGGACAGGCTGGACACGTGGTCCAGCAACTGGCTTCTCGAATTTAACCCTGCCAAATGCAGAGTCATGAAGATTGGGGAAGGGCAAAGAAGACTGCAGGCAGAGTATAGGCTAGGTGGACAAAGGCTGCAAATCTCACTAAAGGAGAAAGACCTTGGGGTGACCATAACACCGAGCACGTCTCCGGAAGCACACATCAACCAGATAACTGCTGCAGCATATGGGCGCCTGGCAAACCTGAGAATAGCGTTCCGATACCTTAGTAAGGAGTCGTTCAAGACACTGTACACTGTGTACGTCAGGCCCATACTGGAGTATGCAGCACCAGTTTGGAACCCACACCTGGTCAAGCACGTCAAGAAATTAGAGAAAGTACAAAGGTTTGCAACAAGGCTAGTTCCGGAGCTCAGGGGAATGTCCTATGAAGAAAGGTTGAGGGAAATCGGACTGACGACACTGGAGGATTGAAGGGTCAGGGGAGACATGATAACAACATACAAAATAATGTGAGGAATAGACAAGGTGGACAGAGACAGGATGTTCCAGAGAGGGGACACAGAAACAAGGAGTCACAAGGAAGCTGAAGACTCAGACGAGTCACAGGGATGTTAGGAAGTACTTTTTCAGTCACATAGTCGTCAGAAAGTGGAATAGCCTAGCAAGTGATGTAGTCGAGGCAGGAACCATACATAGCCTTAAGACGAGGTATGACAAAGCTCAGGAAGCAGAGAGAGAGAGAGAGAGAGAGAGGACCCAGTAACGATCAGTGAAGAGGCGGGGCCAGGAGCTGAGTCTCGACCCCTGCAACCACAATTAGATGAGTACAATTAGGTGAGTATACAACCACCTACAGAAGAACCTCAGCCCCGACAACCCCACTGCAACCAAGCAAAATAACCCAAAACAACCCATACTCCATACCTACGGCCCCCACCCCTGCCCACTACAAATTCCACCTTCACACCTTCACCATCGCAGACGGAAGAAATAAATGTAAGCAGTGGTATGAAAGAATCATAGAAACATCCCCAGACATCATAGCACTTACAGAAACGAAGCTCATAGGTATGATAATAGATGCGATCCTTCCATCAGGATATCAGATCCTGAGGAAAGATAGAGGGAGTAGAGGGGAAGGGGGAGTTGCACTGCTCATCAAAAACCAGTGGAAGTTTGAGGAAATCGAAGGAATTTTCAGACTGGCGGTCGCAAGGGGGTGATGCAGTAATGTGCAACATGCTACAGAACAACAGGAGGCAAAGAGAAGAATATGATGAGAGCAACAGAACAATGGTGGACACGCTAGCTGAGATGAACAGAAGGCCCCACATGAGTAGTGCAAAGTTACTAGTTGTGGGTGATTTCAATCACAAGGAGACTGACTGGGAAAACCTGGAGCCACATGAGGGACCTGAAACTTGGAGAGCTAAGATGATGGAGGTGATACTGGAAAACCATAATGCATCAACATGTCAAGGACACTACTAGAGAGAAAGGAGAGGAGAGGATGAGCCTTTAAATACATGGATGAGCTTCAAATACATGGAGTTACAAGTGGAGAGAGAAGCAGGAAGAGTAGGACAGAAGAAGCCAAACAACAAAAGAGGGGGCTACACAGGCTTGAGGAATTTCCTGCATGAGGTTCAGTGGGAAAGAGAACTGGTGGGCCAAACCAGTAAATGAAATGATGAACCACGTGAGACAAAATGCTAGGAGGCAGAAGATAGGCTCGTTCACAAAGGCAACAGAAATAATGGGGACACCAGAACGAGCCCATGGTTCACCTAAAGGTGTAGAGAGGCCAAAACAAAGTATGCTAGACAATGGAAAAAAATATAGAAGACAAAGGACCCAGGAGAAAAAAAAGATTAGTTGAAGAACCAGAAACGAATATGCACAGATAAGGAGGGAAGCTCTTTGGCAATACAAAAACGACATAGCATCAAATGCTAAGTCTGTCCCGAAGCTGTTGTACAGCCACATCAGGAGTAAAACAATAATTAACAACCAGGTAATCAGGCTGAGGAAGGAAGGCGAGGAGTTCACAAGAAACAACAAACAAGTATATGAAGAGCTCAGCACGAGGTTCAAGGAAGTATTTTCAGTGGAGACAGAAACGACTCCAGAGAGCTGGAATAGTGGGGTACACCATCAAGTGCTGGACACAGTACACACAACTGAGGAGGAGGTGAAGAGACTGCTAAGTGAACTAAATATCTCAAAGGTGGTGGGACTAAACAATATCTCTCCATAGGTCCAGTGAGAGGAAGCAGAGGCACTGAGTGTGCCATTAAGAACAATCTTCAACACTTCCATCGAAACTGGGCAACTACCTGAGGTGTGGAAGACAGGAAATATAGTCCAAATATTTGAGAAGGGTGACACAGACAGGCAACATTAAACTACAGACCTATGTCACTGACTTGTATGTAAAGTCATGGAAAAGATTATCAGGAGAAGAGTGGTGGAACACATTGAAAAGATTGGGTTCATACATGACAATCTGCATGGCTTCAGAGACGCGAAATCCTGTGTCATAAATCTACTTCAGTTTTACGATAAGGTAACAAAAGACAGGAGAGAGAGAGATGGGTAGATTGCATCTTTTTGGACTGCAAGGAGGCTTTTGACACAGTACCACACAAGAGACTGGTGCAAAAATTAAATGAGCAGGAAGGAATAATAGGGAAATACTGCAATGGATCAGGGAATACCTGACAGGAAGAAAACAACGAGTGTTGGTACGTGAAGTGTCAGAGAGGCCGGATGTGTCGAGTGGTGTTCCACAAGGGTCAGTCCTAGGTCCGGTGCTGTTTCTTGTATACATGAATGACATGATGGAAGGAATAGACTCAGACGTGTCACTGTTCGCTGATGATATGAAACTGATGAGGAGGATCAGTTAAGATTACAAAGGGATCTGGACAGACAACAAGTCTGGTCCGACAAATGGCTCCTGGAGTATAACCCTGGTAAGTGTAATTCATAAAGATTGGGAAGGACACAGAAGACCGCAGACGGCGTACAGGTTAGGGAATCAAAGGCTGCAAACGTCACTTAAAGAAAGGGATCCCCTGAGGCACACATCAATCAAATAACGGTTGCAGCAAATGGGCGCTTGGCAAACCTGAGATTATCGTTTAGACATCTGAGTAGGGAGTCATTCGCAATATTGTACACCGTGTACGTCAGGCCTATACTGGAGTATGCAGCACCAGTATGGAACCCTCACCTAGTCAAACACGTCACGAAATTGGAGAAAGTGCAAAAATTTGCAACACGATTAGTCCCAGAACTGAGGGGTATGTCTTATGAGGAAAGGTTAAGGGAACTCAACCTGATGACACTAGAGGATAGGAGGGCTAGGAAGGACATGATAACAACGTATAAAATACTGAGAGGAATTGACAGGGTGGACAGGGCAGGAATGTTTCAGAAATGGGATACAAGAACAAGAGGCCACAATTGGAAGCTGAAACCCCAGATGAGTCATAGGGATGTTAGGAAGTATTCTTTAGCCTTAGAGTTGTCAGGAAGTGGAATAATCTGGAGAGTGAAGTAGTGGAAGCAAATTCTATACATAGCTTTAAGAAGAGGTATGACAAAGTTCCTGGAACAGGGAGAGAGTGAATTAGTATCGACCAGTGAAGAGGCGGGGCCAGGAGCTATGACTCGACCCCTGCAACCACATATAGGTAAGTACATATAGGTGAGAACACACACACACACACACACACACACACAGCAAATGTAGTCCCAGTTTTTAAAAAGGGAGACAGACCTGGAGTATTAAACTACAGACCAGTGTCACTGGCATGTATAGTATGTAAAGTCATTGAGAAGATTATCAGGAGAAGAGTGGTGGAACACCTAGAAAGAAATAAGCTTATAAACGACAGCCAGCACGGATTCAGAGATGTTAAATCCTGTGTCACAAACCTACTAGAGTTCTGTGACAAGATAACAGCAGTAAGACAAGAGAGAGAGGGAAGTGGGTAGATTGTGTTTTCTTGGAATGTAAAAAGGCTTTTGACACAGTCCCACACAAGAGATTAGTACAAAAGTTGGAGGACCAGGAAGGTATAACAGGGAAGGCACTGTAATGGAACAGAGAATACCTAACAGGAAGGCAGCAGCGAATCATGGAACGTGATGTGATGTCAGAGTAGGCGCCTATGATGTGCGGGGTTCCACAAGGGTCAGTCCTAGGACCGGTGCTGTTTCTGGTATATGTGAATGACATGACGGAAGCAATAGACTCAAAAGTGTCCCTGTTTCCAGACGATGTGAAGCTAGTGAGGATAATTCAGTCAGAGGAGGATAAGACACGACTACAGAGGGATATGGACAGGTTGCAGGCCTGGTCCAGAAATTGGCTCCTAAAGTTCAACCCCACCAAGTGCAAAGTCATAAAGATTGGGGAAGGACTAAGAAGACTGCTAAGTACAGTCTAGGGAGGGGGGGGGCTAAGACTACAAACCTCACTCAGCAACCATATAAATGCTGCAGCATATGGACGACTAGCGAACCTAAGAACAGCATTCAGACATATCAGCAAGGAGTTGTTCTGGACCCTGTACACCGTGTACGTCAGGCCCATATTGGAGTATGCAGCTCCAGTTCGGAACCCACACTTGGCCAAGCACGTATGGAAACTAGAGAATGTACAAAGGTTTGAATCGTGACTAGTCCCAGAGCTAAGTGACATGTGCTACGAGGAGAGGTTAAAAGGTAACTCAACCTGACGACACTGGAGGACAGGTGGGACAAGGGGAACATGATAACGACATATAAAATATTAAGAGGAATCGACAAGGTGGACAGAGACATGATGTTCCTGAGATGGGACATAGGAACAAGGGGTCACAATTGGAAATTGAAGACTCAGATGAGTCACAGGGATGTTAGGAAGTATTTCTTCAGTCACAAAGTCGTCAGTACTTGGAATGGTCTGGAAACTGATGTAGTGAAGGCAGGTACCATACATAGCTTTCAGAAGAGGTATGATAAAGCTCATGGAGCATGGAGAGAGTGGCCCACTAGTATGGGGAAACTTGTTAGCTAAGTAAAGTTTCCGACAAGGAGGGTTAATAAGCTTTCTTGGCAGCTCAGACTTATTGCAGCCGCGGTTCAAGAAATTTCCTTCGAATGAGGTGAAGTTCTTCACACAGGAGCTGTAGAATGACAAATAACTAGATAAGGTTATGAACCTAACATATATTTTCCATTATAACGGTTTACTGGAGTGTGGTGAGCTACTCACCTGAGTTATGTAGATCATTGTCATATTACGACCTAGGATCGGTTAGCCCTAATAACCTTGTGTCTACCTATGAACTGCAGTGCATATCTGGTGGACAAAAGTGCTCATGTAACGGGAGCTTGTAGCGTTGACTGCGCCACTTCCGCCGAGAATGTCTTGGTAGTAGAATGTAGAGGTGTCACGTAGGGAATGTTCTTTGCAATCACTCGCAATACCAGTTACACTCTGTTGTCATTCACTATCACTATAGGTATTCAGAAATAATAATAGTTTCAAAAGACACTTGAGCAAACAGTACGACATATTTATTAAAGAACGTTCCGATTCAAGAATCAAAACGTTGTCTAATATATCCTAGTGTTTGCTCAAGTGTCTTTTTACACAAATTTTTAGGTATCACTTACCAATATTAATAATTATTAATAGCAATCATTATTGGTTGTAAGATGGTGAGCCGCTCTTTTTTGAGCAAAATTCTTACTTGTTCACAATACGGTTAAATAAATAAGCAAAATGATGAATTGTTTGCTGTGAGAGATGAAAAAATATGTGTAGTAGTTCGGCATTCATTTTATTTCATAAATTCATAGGTTGTCAGGATGTTCATTTTTGTAAATTGAATAAAGTTTTAGTACACTAGGATGTATATTGTGATTTAAACAGCCATTATGAATAGTGAAGACCTTCAGGTTATGAATTATAATTAACACCGTCAAGTATTTACGAGAGACACAAATGCGTTAAACTAGAATAGATTTTTGAGTAAACGTTTAGCTACTCAGTACAAAATCAATGGATGGCGAAACATTTTCTAAATAAAAATGTCCTAGTCACCTAATTGTTGCATCCTAAGGAGCTGAACAAAGTTGTTCATAGTACTGATGTGTTCCAGCTATACGAGACCCAGCGTGTGAGACACGGTATGATGACCCTGGGTCCCAGCGGTGCCGGCAAGACCTCCTGCATCCATGTACTCATGAGAGCTCTCACCAAGATGGGTCAGCCTCACAGGTACGCTATGCTCCAGGACCTATAGGTCAGGCTTTCAGCCAGCTACATCAGTCTCCCTGCCAGGTAGAGCTGTATGACTTAAGGATTTAGCGATTCCCCATGAGGTTGGTTGATTCCCCCATGACAGGTTGGTTGATTCCCCCATGACAGGTTGGTTGATTCCCCAATGACAGATTGGTTGATTCCCCCATGACAGGTTGGTTGATTCCCCAATGACAGGTTGGTTGATTCCCCCATGACAGGTTGGTTGATTCCCCCATGACAGGTTGGTTGATTCCCCCATGACAGGTTGGTTGATTCCCCCATGACAGGTTGGTTGATTCCCCCATGACAGGTTGGTTGATTCCCCCATGACAGGTTGGTTGATTCCCCCATGACAGGTTGGTTGATTCCCCCATGACAGATGAAGCCACTGTGTGGCGAAACGTTTCCTCAATAAAGATACCCAAGAGTTGCACATGTGTCTAATTTATCAACATGTCGGTTCTCTGAACCATTCATCTACAATCCTGTCAGACACTGCAACTTCTTGGGATCTTAATACTTGGGAATTCTTCGCTTGCCTAACCCTTGGGCACGACCTACTTCCACATTGAAGAAATGTGACACCACCTACGACTGCTGCACTTCTCCTGCCTACGGTTTATAAGCTCCTTCTCCACACTTAAGCCGTATTCTATTCAAGATTGATTGACTGACCACATCGACTCAAGGTTGAAGGACTGATTACCTCATTCTACTCCTGTTCTTCAAGATTCTCCTTTGTATGGACTGATGAAGCCACTGTGTGGCGAAACGTTTCCTCAATAAAGATACCCATTCATCTACAATCCCCCATGACAGGTTGGTTGATTCCCCCTTGACAGGTTGGTTGATTCTCCCATGACAGGTTGGTTGGTTCCCCCCTTGACAGGTTTGTTGATTCCCCCATGACAGGTTGGTTGATTCCCCCATGACAGGTTGGTTGATTCCCCCATGACAGGATGGTTGATTCCCCCATGACAGGTTGGTTGATTCCCCCATGACAGGTTGGTTGATGGCGTGGAGAGGAAGATTATAATTGAACATTAGATTTCATTTTTCTTGAATATTTTTTAGCAAATGTATTTGCATTTGATAAATGACCGTTTGGTGCCTATATGAGATTCTCAATTTTTAAATAAGTCGAGAAATATGTCCCCCTCCAATTCTGACTTTTTCTTAACTAATTAGAGATGATAATGGAAATTTGTATTTTATTTTTGTCTGTTTTTTATTTATCAAATTAATTTCTTTTTGTATACTACCATTTGGTGTATGTGTGTAAAACTATGATGTTTTTTTTAGTAAATGTAAGTCAAGAAATGTTGTATGAGCAAGGTCTGTAACGTATCTATGTTTTATATGCTAAACTAGGTTCATCTAGGTTCATCTGTCTCACGAGCCGGGGTCCACCTGTATATACATTCATTACTGCAAACGTACATCCATAGATACGTTATGACGCTCCATTTATTCTGCTTCCTTTCATTCATGGTCTCATTCTGAATATCCTATCTCCTATGGATAAAGGCACGAACTTAGTGTAGTGTTATCTTTGCTGACAAAGTTTCACCTACACAAATCTATCTGGGGAAAGAGGATATGTGCGTATATAGGGAACTTAGTGACGTGAAGAGTCAGGTGAGGTATATTGAAGCTGACTTGGACATTATAATGTTTGGAAGAAAATGGATTTGAGAAGGACCTGCCAAGCTTGGGTCACTAGGCCTGTGACTTATTGCTGGGTGAGATAACGATCAAAATGTTTCCTAGCAAGCGCCTCGGCTATGTTGTATTAGCCGTTGTGTGTTATGCTGATTACTGATGATTCCAGCAATGTTTGTTTTAAAAGCCGTTGCAATGGTTTAAAAACCCGACAAGTTGAAAAAATGAGACACTTGTGTAACATACGGGTATCTTATTTTGGAAATGTTTCGCCAGCCAATGGCTTCTTCAGTTCAATACAGAGAAGAATGGTGGAAGATGAGGAGTTTGAGATATTAGTCCCTCAGTCTGGAGACGATGTGTTCAGTCCATAAATCTTTAAACAGTACAGAGAAGAGGTTCATATACTTCTACTCCAGGCTTAGGGACTGATTACCTCAAGCACTTCCTCACTGTCCACCGTTCTTCTTTGTATTGGATTGAAGAAGTCACTGGATGGAGAAACGTTTCCAGAATTAAAATACCTAAATGTTGCTCAAGTGGCTCATTCATTGTACAAGATCAACCCCAGCAGCCGGGGTTGATCTTGTTGGTGGTGTTTCTTGCCGGTGATACCTTTGACTGTGGTGAAGCAGTAGTAGACATTTGCAATTTAGTGTTGGATAGAAATGTGTTAAACAATAGAGTTGTTAAGAGAGAACTGTGTACCTACTTCTTTAGTGTATCGTCTAGTGAGTTAAATATGGTGAGTGCACGGTGCCTGCAGTCTCTGATGAAATGACGAGGAGAGTGAAATTTGGAAAAAAAAAAATCTGTTCAAGGAAAGAGCATTCCTCGTTAAGAAATTCGCTTCTGCAGACACGGAGAGCACGTAGGAAGAAGCAGATGATGTCACATATAGTCTTGGAGTCGTGGTGCAAGTAGGAATGAAAAGATCGTGTTGACTTATAGGTTTGCAGTAGACTTCGAAACGTAGTCCATGATCAGAGTTGTAGAGGAAAAACATCGATGAAAAGTACCATCGACTTTTTTAAGTGTGAGCTGGATGAAGACCTCGACATGGTTGAACTTGTGTTGAAGTGCTGGAACGTTGAATTATCTAAGAGTTATGAAGAATATGTCGTCAACGTTCAATTTGCCTTTCATCATATCTCGCAGTTTATTTAATCTTATCTATGGCTTCCCTGTTCAAGTACATCATTATTTATTATTGTTAATCACGTGAAGTTCTAAACCCGTGTAGGTCACTGAGAGCAAGAATTGGTAGAGGCTTGAGCCTTCGTCCGCTCATCACAAGACAGGCATGATTTCTTGTTGTACTAAGATAAGATAAGATTTCGTTCGGATTTTTAACCCCGGAGGGTTAGCCACCTATGATAACCCAAGAAAGGCAGTGAGTCATCGAGGGGACTGTGTACAGTGTCTTATTTCCATTGGGATCCTCAGTCTCGCCCCTCAGGATGCGACCCACATCAGTCGACTTACACCCAGGTACCTACTTGCTTACTAGGTGAACGGGATAACAGGTGTAAGGGAGCACGCCCAATGTCTCCACCCTTGCCGGGAATCAAAACGCGGACACTCAGCATATGAAGCGAGAGCTTTGCCTACCAGACCACGGGCGACCTTTATGTGATGTATTGCTACTGAAATCAACAGATAACGATTGTCAGTAACACTCCGAATAGTTAACTCTGAAGGAAGGTGAAATATATATAGCAGTGAGTAACTTTCATAGGCATTCGTGTTCTTTTAAGTTATAAAACTAAACATTTCTATTTTATAAAATGGTTGAATTGCAAATTTCAAGATATCTAGAAATATCTAAAGAAATATGATGGCAATTCCAATTCTTATACTAGTTTCAGCTCCCTGGGTTCCAATATTGCCAGCTCCCTGGGTTCCAATATTGCCAGCTCCCTGGGTTCCAATATTGCCAGCTCCCTGGGTTCCAATATTGCCAGCTCCCTGGGTTCCAATATTGCCAGCTCCCTGGGTTCCAATATTGCCAACTCCCTGGGTTCCAATATTGCCAGCTCCCTGGGTTCCAATATTGCCAACTCCCTGGGTTCTAATATTGCCAGCTCCCTGGGTTCCAATATTGCCAGCTCCCTGGGTTCTAACATTGCCAGCTCACTGGGTTCCAATATTGCCAGCTCCCTGGGTTCCAATATTGACAGCTTCCTGGGTTCCAATATTGCCAGCTCCCTGGGTTCCAATATTGCCAGCTCCCTGGGTTCCAATATTGCCAGCTCCCTGGGTTCCAATATTGCCAGATCCCTGGGTTCCAATATTGCCAGCTCCCTGGGTTCCAATATTGCCATCTCCCTGGGTTCCAATATTGCCAGCTCCCTGGGTTCCAATATTGCCAGCTCCCTGGGTTCCAATATTGTCAGCTCCCTGGGTTCCAATATTGCCAGCTCCCTGGGTTCCAATATTGCCAGCTCCCTGGGTTCCAATATTGCCAGCTCCCTGGGTTTTCCAATATTGCCAGCTCCCTGGGTTCCAATATTGCCAGCTCCCTGGGTTCCAATATTGACAGCTCCCTGGGTTCCAATATTGACAGCTCCCTGGGTTCCAGTATTGCCAGCTCCATGGGTTCCAATATTGCCAGCTCCCTGGGTTCCAATATTGACAGCTTCCTGGGTTCCAATATTGCCAGCTCCCTGGGTTCCAATATTGCCAGCTCCCTGGGTTCCAATATTGACAGCTCCCTGAGTTCCAATATTGCCAGCTCCCTGGGTTCCAATATTGCCAGCTCCCTGGGTTCCAATATTGCCAGCTCCCTGGGTTCCAATATTGCCAGCTCCCTGGGTTCCAATATTGCCAGCTCCCTTGGTTCCAATATTGACAGCTCCCTGGGTTCCAATATTGACAGCTCCCTGGGTTCCAATATTGCCAGCTCCATGGGTTCCAATATTGCCAGCTTCCTGGGTTCCAATATTGCCAGCTCCCTGGGTTCCGATATTGCCAGCTCCCTGGGTTCCAATATTGCCAGCTCCCTGATTCCAATATTGCCAGCTCTCTGGGTTCCGATATTGCCAGCTCCCTGGGTTCCGATATTGCCAGCTCCCTGGGTTCCAATATTGCCAGCTCCCTGATTCCAATATTGCCGGCTCTCTGGGTTCCGATATTGCCAGCTTCCTGGGTTCCAATATTGCCAGCTCCCTGGGTTCCAATATTGCCAGCTCCCTGGGTTCCAATATTGCCAGCTCCCTGGGTTCCAATATTGCCAGCTCCCTGGGTTCCAATATTGCCAGCTCCCTTGGTTCCAATATTGACAGCTCCCTGGGTTCCAATATTGACAGCTCCCT